TACTCTTGTTATACTGATGTAATATGTAAGCCAGTCTTCGGACGGCCCACCCGTTTGAACTAATAAAGTGCCAGGGGATTAAGTGGTCACCTCAATATTAAAAAATAAAATAAAATAAAATAATTATAGCACCTGATTCTTCTTCTATAAATATAATCTTAGATCTAATTGTATATTAGTATTTAAATTCTCTTTTTTTAAGCGAAAAAAAAAATTTTTTTATTTAAAATATCTTGATATTTATTTTAAATTCCGGTGCTCTTGTTGTTAAAAGTTGTAAGTTAATATAGTGAAAGTTTTGTATTGAAAGTTTTGTTGGATTATTAGTATTAAAATCTTGGTTTGAAAAAAAGTAAGTTGATGCTTATAATTTTGGCAATAATAAAAAGTTAATTGAGATTTTTTAATAATTTAACTTTTTGAAGCATAAAATTACAATAAAGTTAATAGTAATATTGTAACAGTAACACTATACTAGTAATGCCTAATAGTAAATTCATAATAGCAAAGGCTGATAAAGTGTAATATTAAAGCTTAGTAAAGCTGTAAAATTAAAAATATAAACCTTAAAAAGCATGTCTAAATTGAAAATAGCAAAAAAGAAAGTTGATGCTGCTAAGGTAATAATAATCAGAATTTTTTTGTTGTTGCTTTCAATTAGAAAAACTATATTAATATATTGTTTCATTAGCGAGTTAAATATACAAAACCAACTGTGGATGATCTTAAGAAAATCTGTTAAAATTCAAAGGTTAAAGAAAACTCAAATATGAATCAAAGCTTTGGAAAAGTTTTGCTCTGACATTAGATTTAAAAAAAAGATTGAAGAAGTAAACTCCAAAACAGTCTTGAAAAACCAGTTGTCAAAGTTTGTTTGCACAATGAAAAGATATAATAATGAAAAATATTATATAAGAAGTTGCATAGCAGCTATTTGGAGGCACCTCAACATGAATTCAGTAATGAAAAAGCTTGTAAATATACTTAATTCAAAGATGTACTTCAATTTAAACAGGTGGCTAATAGTAAAGTAAAAGAACTTTCTGCAAAGGCTTAGAAAAACATGTAGATACTGATAGACTAATGTTAAATGAAATTGAGCAAATCTTGGACTACCCCATAACAGGGATAGTAAATAACCTGAAATGACCTAGTGACTCAAATAAATAATGACTAGTCACTAGTCATTTAAAAGATGAAATGACCTGTTAGGTTATTTGGTCATTTAAAAATTTTACTTTATTTATAGATACTGTATTTTCACGTAATAACGCACAGGGGTGTAATTTCAAAATTTGGCCCAAATTAAACTTAATTTGGGCTATTATTTGAAATAATACTCATGAGTGTTATTACGTGAAAATATGGTATGATATACTGTAATTTGTTATAGCTTCTTGATCGGTTATCTGAATAAATTAATACACATGTTGTGCATAATGATAATCGATCAGGTTATTTAATCGTATAAATTTATTATAAGTATAATGCTTATACTATGGTTAACTTTAATAATTTTCACAGAACGTAAAAAAATCCAGAGTTTTTTTTATTTTTATTTTTTATTTTTTTATTAATTACTATTTGAGGTAAACTATTAATTAACATTAAGGTAACTTCATTACAATATAAAAAAATTTTGGTGATTTAATATCATTATCTTGTAGTTTAATTTTTACTTTTTTAATTGCTAATGTTTTACGTGAAATCTGCATTAACTTATATAATAAAGAGAATTGGATGCTAATGCTAGTTACTATTTTCTTTGTCGATGATATATTTTTTATGAGTTAAAGCAAAATCATGCAAAAATTAAAGTTACAATAATAACAATATATGTAGCGATAGTTTATTTTTTTTTATATGTTAAAACTGGTTTTAACCGGTTAGAACATATGAAATAAAACTGGTTCCAAATCTTAATTAAGCTTTGCATATATAAACTCTTTCAATTTAACTAATATATACTAATATCCAACCAAATTTTGTCGCATCATCTGATTGTAATGACCTAATGACCCAAATAACTTTGGTCATTTGTAAATGACCTGGGTCATTTGGTCACGAGTCATTTTTAAATGACCTGAAAATTAAATGACCAAAATAATTAATCATTTTGAGATCATTTCGGGTCATTTGCAAAACAGGCAAATGACCTGGTCATTTACCATCTCTGCCCTACAATGCAATGTAATATACTGAAAGGCTTATTATAAAAGATTTTTTTTATAATGCTATGTTGTTAGCACTATGTGATAATAAATATTATTTTTTACAAATTATTAATTTTTTTAAAAAGCTTGATAGAGGGCTTAATGTCAAGTTGGTTTGATCCAAAACAATTTGATAATCACAATGCACAGGCTAAAATTATTAGCTTGCCAAACAATAAAAGCATTATTGATAATTAGTTTGTATTTTACTAAATGCCTAACAATAACTATAACGAATTTTATCTAAAGTCAATGTCTTTAAATTCAGGTAATATTTTTATATTTGCCAACTGATTTTTTAGATAAGAATGTCTGTTTACTAACTTTTTTTCTATTTATTAGTAAAATTTAGTAGGAAATAGTACTATACATATACTCTGGGCAAGCAAAAGTTAAGAGAATATTTTTGAGAAATATGTGAACCAACAGAAATTCAAATTGAAATGTATAATATGTCAAATTACTTTGAAAAAAAAACTGCAGTGTAGTTTTTGAAGAAGCGATACTCCAATTCTATTATGATATTGATTATAAGACTTAAGTTTCAAAAGATCTTGCAGTATATGAATGTCTAAAATCTGTAATATAGTATGAAGATCTAAATAGATTTTTTAATGCACTCAAACAGATTTCAAAAGGTAAAATTTTTATTTATACAGTTGTAATTTTGAATATTTTTTTAATATTTTTTTTCTTTACACAAAGCTCTAATAATAATAATGACAATAAAGCTCCTGGTAATAATAATGATGATGAAGCTTATAGTGACTATAATAATGTTAAAGGTTATCAAAAAGTTGTGCCAGTAACTGGTGATTTTGTACTTGCAAATTTGTTTGTTCAACAGACTGATTTGCAAGTATTGTTGGCAAATACTCTTGATGGTCTTGAATTTTCTGCTGATGAACCAAGTAATATATTGGCTAAGTATAATTAGAAAAAGAATGATTAAAAAAATAGCATTGAGGATTTTAAAAATAAAGAATTTCTTGAAAGATTTTTTACAGAGAATACTTTTCACAATTGTACTTTTAATTTTTAAAGTTTAAAAATATATTTCAATTGAAAATTTGATTTGCATGTGCTTAGTTGCTTTTATGAATTGTATTGTTATTCAAATTATATTAATTTTAAGTACTTGTGGCCTAATTATTATAAAATTTTTACAAAAATTTAATATTCAGCAATACATTATCAAATATTTAAAAATAATAGATATTTGCTACACTATGATCATATGAGTTTGTCGGATAAATATTATTATTAGAATTAAAAGTAATAAAACTTTTGCTATTATTATTAAAATAAAATGTTCTATAAAGTAGATTGCAAACTTTGCAAACTCTGCAACTTCACTAAATATCTATTAATAATTACTAATTATTAGTGGAGTTTATTTTTATATTGCTATCTATTTTATAGAATACCCTTAAAATTATTTAATGATCTTATAATTTTTTTAAATATTATTTAATATCTAAAGATTTAAAAATTATTTAAATATTTAAACTATATTCAAATATTCAAATATTCAATTAAATTTATTTGGATATTGTTCAATACCAACTTTGCTTATAATAGTGCAAATTTCTTTTATAAAATCAAATAATTTATTATATATATATATATATATTTCTTTGATAACCACGTACTAAAGTTTATTAAATTTATAACACTTAATACAAGACCAAGCTATCTAATGAGTTTTTAGACTAAAAGCTAGCTGTCTCTAAAAAATACCCAATCTTGATTACTACACTGATATTAGCTACTATACCCCATGTATAGCATAGCACACTTAAAGATATAGTCTAGCCTGGGCTCAGCTCTCATTACATCAGAACCTCTTTTTTCTTCTAATTCTTCCTTCTTTTCAAGAAGCATGAGATAAAAGAGTGAAAAATTTAAACAAAAAAAACTATGAAAATGACAACAAAAAAAAAAAACAAACAAACAAAAGAAAAAATAAACACAGATTACAAAAAAGAAAAAATATAAAAAGAAATCTAAGACCCTAAAAGCACTATTATAATCTATGCAAGGTTGGTAAAAATTATATAACAAATGCAATATTTGTATATTTCTTCTGTAAAGCTTTGCCTTAATATTAAATTTACTTTCTAATCTTCTTACTAATTTAGGATAGCTCTGTTGCCTATTTAATTTGCATCTTGAGCCAGGTGCCACTATTATCCAAGGACCCATATCTCAAGCCATCTTTTTTTGCTACTGTAATTAAAGTTTCTAAACTAAGTTTTATGAAGTAGCACCATATTTGTCTATAAACAAACATGTAGTTGCATTCTACTTAACTGTTCGAATTTGAAAGTAAACAATACTGATCTTTTGTAGAGAGTAAGCCAAATTCCTAAAAAATTTAGAAGAATAATGAGGAAGCGAAAAAAAAATAGTAGGAACTACTTGGCCTGAATAAGGGAGTGTGGCTTAAAAGAAGCCTGTTCTTTACTGTTTCACTGTTTTATAGTTTTTTTGCAACTGATAGCTTTGTTAACAAAAGGCTTGAACTTCTATTACCTCCACCTATTCACCAAAATTTCATATACAAGAGCACCATCTTTTGCCAATTATCTTGTATCTTGACACTTTTAGCTTGCATGTCAAATATATAAAGAAGTCTCTCTAGTGAAGATTAATCTTTATAAAAACCACCCTGTTGATTCACCTCACTACAAATTATTACGACTCTCTAGTATAGAATATAGACTTTTTTTTCGTTAGAAAATTTGGTCCAAGTGATTATCAGAAAGATTAATTTAATTTATTATATTTAAATAATAGTTTATATAATATAATATATAAATCAAAAGAGATGTAGGTTCGTAGTTGTTTGGGAAAAGGCAAATAGTATAAATACAGTGATGAAGCAAAGTAGTTTTGTAAAGAATATTATACCTGATAGCAGAGGCAGCACTACGTCTAGAGTAAGAAGAAGCAAAATCAATAATGGTCCGATTAATGAAAGTTTTGCAGCAAATAGTGAAAGAATAGCAGAGATAAAGTGGTTGTTTGAAGAGGGTGTTGTAAAATGAATTGAGAGTAGGTTAACCCTATTTTGGTTTAGTTCTTGATAGAGCTAACAACATCTCCTAACTCACATGTGAGTTTGTATAACAAGTCGTATCTGGGCGCATAATATGTAGCCAGATGATGTCGAGTTTGTAATTTTGAATTAGTTATTATTAGAATAGCTTTAAACTTTGTTTTTAGTCTAATAGTTTAATAATTTGTATTTGAGCTACAACAAGACTGTCAAAGAATTAAAAAAAAAAAAAAAAATATATATATATATATATATAATATATCAATAAATATTTAAATAAACAAATCCAAGTTTTCAACTCTTTTTGATAATTACTTGGTCCAAAATTCTTATAGAAGAAAAATACAAATTTTGTTAGAAAGTTGTGGCCTAATATAGTGGTTTTTTTAGAGATTAACATACTGCTTATAGGACTCCTCTACTGATAACATCTGGCATGCAAGCCAAGAGTATTATTATACAAGATAACTAGCAGGAGGTGTCTTTATATAAAACATCTTGGTAGAGAAGAGGACTCTTTAGATACTTCTTTTTCTCCGTTGACAAAGCTCTTAGACTATACTTCTTTGAAAATACTGGGAAACAACAAAATATTATGTTATTCTCTTCAAACCATACTCTTTTTATCTGGTTAAGTAGTTCCTTTTTACTTTTTTTCATTCTTCTGTCAGTTTTTCAAAAAATTTTGACAAAAAGTAAAGATTTGTTTTACCTCCTCCAAAAGATTGGCATTGTTTACTTTCTAAATTTAAATAGATTAGCAAAATGCAACTATGTATTTGTTTATAGACGAATATAGTACTTTTTCATAGAACTCAGCCTGGGAACTCTAATTATAGTACAGGTAGCTTGAGATATGGGTCCTCAGACAATGGCAATACCTGGTTTGAAATACAGATTAGAACAGATAATAAAGCAATCCGGAGTTGGTGAGAAGATTGAAAAGTAAATTTAACTAGAGATATACAAAATATTGTATTTAGTATATAATTTTTATCAGCTATGCATGGGTTATAATAGTATTTTTAGGGTTTTAGATTTCTTTTTATGTTTTTTCTTTTTCACAATCAGTGTTTCTTTTTTCTTTTTTGTTTTTTCTTTTTTTTATTATTCTTTGTTGAAAAATTTCACCCTTTTGTCTTGTGTTTCTTGAGAAGAAGAAAGATTTAGAAAGGGAAAAAGAAATCCTAATGCAGTACACAACAACCTGTCAAATAATTGAAAAGGTATCCTTTGTCGATACAAAATCTGAAACAAGTTTCAGATTCCACTATGAGACTAATAGTTGTTATAGCAGGTCGTATTGGGCTTTGGCTTGGTAAGTTTCTATTAGAATAGAGTAATACACTATTCTAGGTTGTTATTTGTATAATAATCTTATAGTAGTTTATAAACAGGATTGCTTAATATAAAAAAAATATATTTAATTAAATTTTTTTTTTTTTTTAATTCAGCAGTCTTGCCTTAACTGTTTATTAGTACTCTAAGGTATTGTGGTTACAAATATACTTATATATATTTACAACTATCTAATTATTACAAATAAAACTCACTTAGTTACTAACTTAGTACCTATGTATGATCTGCTATATAAAATTTTACCTAATTATCAACTGTCCGTCAATTAGACTGGTTTTCAAACTACAGATGATTCCCAAACCTTATCATATATACCTCACTATATATATTACTATACAACGTCTACTAGCCAACTTCTACCCCTCAATACTTATTACATTACTCTTAATTCATTCTTTGTACTATTTCTAAATTGGTGTCTCTTGAGTGGGCGCTCTTGATGCTTCTAGTTTGGTGTCTTCGGGATATTACTCTAAGGGCCTAGTTCATATCTCAAGCCAGATACAGGACCTGCTGTTACAACCAGGATGTTATTTTACAATTCTCAAGCGTTAATATCATATACTACCAAATTAGACTACCGATCTTTCTATAGTACTCCCTATTGGTATGATAATACAGGGCCTGGATCCTTAGAATGGGAGTTAAGTACCTCATTTAATTACTATTACAATCCAGTAACCCAGGACCTGTGCCTCTGCATGTTTCGTCATAGACTCCTATATAGGTTGTGCAATTATTACTCCCTAGTCTGTCTTTATTTTCATATCACTAGATCACATACTTCTATACTTTCAGAGCTTTTTTTAACCAGTTTTTCTTGTGCCAGAGGTGTTCTATATTTGGTAAAGTCATTCTTTTACTACAGTCTCTTACTATGTTTACCACTTCTGGATATACTGCATTCAGCCATCCTCCTAATCAAGATTTCAATACCACCTTAGGGTTGTTGGTACTACCTTGCCAATTGTGGATTCATATGCACATCCTTCTGCAGTAATACTTTCTGTCGCACATAGTGCTTAGTCTTTTCTATAGCTCAAGGCTCCTTCCAAGAATTCTTTATTGGCCAAATATGTATATTACATGGTCTTACCATCACAAGGTTTCGCATTCGAAAGCTCTCAAAGGTTATAGAGATAATTAATTAAATTAATTACTTATAGCTGTAATCGAACCATTGACCTCATCTGTGAAGGGTTAGGCACCCAAACCACTAGGCTATGAGACCCTAACCCCCAAATATTTAACTAAATTACTAATAGTATATCAGAATAATTAATAAATAAATAAATAGAAATTCTTTATTTGTATTAGAAAATTAGTTCCAATAATTACTTGGATCAAATTTTCTGACAAAAAGAAAAGCCTATTTTTAATACTAGAAAGTAATAACCTGTAGTGAGATGAATCAACAAGGCAGTTTTTATAAAGGTTAACCTTTTCTACCTTGAAGACTCCTTTATATATTTGAACATACAAGCCAAAAGTGTTTGTATACAAGATAACTAGCAGAA